TAAAATCTTTAACAAAAAATAAAAAAATAAAAGTGTCAATTTTTTCAAACTAATTTATAAATTCAATACAACCTAAATAAAAATTCCAACTGGATTTTTTTTTTAAAGGAACTGAATCAAGTTAGTATAAAATATTTATGGAAAAATAAAGATCCATAAATGGCTAAGACAACACTGAAAAAAGAAAAGTGGGGATGAATTGCTATATTAGACATTAAGACGTGTTTTGGGCTGAACTGTGTGTGTCCCTTCAAAATTTATATGTTGAAGTTCTAACTCTTAATACCTTAGAATGTGACTGTATTTGGAGATAGACAGATACACGTTTAAAAAGGTAGTTAACTGGGGTGCCTGCGTGGCTCAGTCGTTAAGCGTCTGCCTTCAGCTCAGGTCATGATCCCGGGGTCTGGGATCGAGCCCCGCATCGGGCTCCCTGCTCCGCGGGAAGCCTGCTTCTCCCTCTCCCACTCCCCCTGCTTGTGTTCCCACTCTCGCTGTGTCTCTCTCTGTCAAATAAATAAATAAAATATTTAAAAAAAGGTAGTTAACTGAAATGAGGCCATTAGGGTGCCTCTAATCCAATATGGCTGCTGTCCTTATAAGAACAGTGTATTAGGACACACAGAGGGAAAACCACGTGAAGACACAGTCAAGGAGAGAGACCTCGGGAAAAAACAACCATGCTGACACCTTGATCTCAGACTTTTAGCCTCCAGAATTGTGAGAAAATTAATACCTGTTGTTTGATCCATCTCGTCTGTGGTACTTTGTTATGCGACCTGGCCAACTAATACATACTACAAAGCCATAATAATAGTTTGTCCCAAAAACAGACCAATAAACCAATGGAGTAGAAAAGGGGATGGGGAGAGAGACCCACATATATATAAAAACTTGATAAATGATAAAGAAGGCACTACAAGTAATGGAGGAAAAGAGAACTGGGTCACCATGTGGAAAAAAAATTAAACCGGATCCCGATTTACACCATTCACAAAAGTGAACTCCAGAAGGATCAGAGTCCTAAATGTGGAAGTTACACGAACAGTACAAAATGTACAAAAAAAAAAAATTTCTGTGGCACTGAAAGAGGGGAAGACCTTTTCAACAATATCTCAAGAGCATAAAATTTAAAATGAAATATTGGCAGGTTTAATTTAATCAAAACTCTGTTCCGTTGCCAACACTATAAATAAGGTTAATAGACAAATGACAGAAGATGCTTGCGACACAGAAAGCTGACAAGGATCTAGTAATATTCGAAGTATCTGATAAACTCCTGCAAACTGTTAAGAAAAAGATGGGAAATCCAATACAGGGGAAATGGTAAAAGATAAAAACCGCCAATTCACAGGGGAAAAAACCCAAAGTTACAAAGAGCTGTTCAAAGTCATTATTAATGAAAAAAATGCAAATAAAAGTAACACTGCAATACTAGTTTACATCCATCCCTCAGATTAGCCAAGGAGTCAAAGGTGCTTAATGCTAAATGTTGGTGGGGATACGGGAACACTCATGCACTGACAGTAGACCGATGATTTCAAAAACGCAAGACTCTGAGCCTGTCTGTCTCTACCCACTTCCACTGAGCAGCAGCGGCATCTGACCTCAAGCTAAAGAACTGCCCTCCAGCCAAAGTGAGCAGCTAACCTGGGGAGGGTGCCTGGGGGGCCTGAGGGGAATCAGAACTTGCAGTACCACTGAGCTGCCTGGGCAGACGTGGAAAGGGACAGACATGCACCCATCATAGAAATAAGCTGCATTCATCTTCCAACCAGAATAAAAACCTGCTGATTTTGGCATGTGGAGAGCCTTCGTAGGGAGGACTCCAACTTTAACGCTTGTACAGTGCTCACAAGTTTCAACTTAAATCTGCCTGTTGTCACCCCATCTACTTCCCCAGCCTGGAAAGGGCAGGTGGGGTGGGGCAGGCGGGGCGGGGGTAGGGGGTACTGGGAGGACGGACTTTGCTTGCTGTCTCCACTGAGAACCAGTTACTCATTCAGTACTACGAACCCGCAGCCAAGACAGTTGAGAAAAATCAATGGTGTGAAAGAGAAAGATCAATGTGAACAGACTACCTCAGAAGGGAAAGAACCCAGGCAACAAAAGGGCAAATTTGAAAAAATTCCAATATTTTATCCTCTGGTGTATTTGAATGGGTATAAATCCATAAAAAAGAATAAACCATTACGAAGAAGAACTGAGAAACAAGAAAGAGTTCTAAAAATTAAAAAAATGATATCTGAGGGGCGCCTGGATGGCTCAGTCGGTTAAGCGTCTGACTTCAGCTCAGGTCATGATCTCAGCGTCCTGGGATAGAGCCCCACATTGGACTCTCTGCTCAGCAGGGAGTCTGCTTCTCCCTCTTCCTCTGCCCGCCCCCCGCTTGTGTTCACTCTCTCTCTCTCAAATAAATAAAATCTTTAAAAAAAAAAAAAAAGATACAAGATTACAAACAAATTTAGGTGGAAAAACTAAACAGTAGAATAAACATGGCCATATCTAATATAATAACCTGAAAGATACAATCCAGGAAATTCCCTATGATTTAAAGTGATAAGGAAAGAGAAAGAATAAAGTTAGAAGACACAGAATTCATTTATCCTTTTAGAGTTATTCAGTCTACAAATATTTAGGGAGAGCCCAGTTGCCACCTGGTAGTGGTTTAAGAAGTGGGAATAGATAGTTTAACAAGACAGATGAGATTCTTCCTCTCAGAGAGCTCATATTCTAGTTGAGGGAGGACAGACCATAAAAAGATAAATTTAAAAATACAGCATGATAGTGACAAGTTCATTTTTCAGAAATTTTATTTACTTATTTATGTCATCTCTACACTCAACGTGGGGCTCGAACTCACGACCTCAAGATGAAGAGTCGCATGCTCTTCCGACTGAGCCAGGCAGGGGCCCCTGAGAGTGACAAGTTCTATGACGAAATAAAGCAAAGTGCAATTAGGGCCAGAGAGCCAACATCTGGTCTGCATAAGACAGGGTTTCTCAAGCTTGGCACAGCTGACATTTGGGCTGGATAATCATTGGCTGTGGGGGCTTGTTGCACACACTGCAGAATGTGCAGCAGCATCTCTGGCCTCTGCCAGTGAGATGCCAGGAGCACTCCCCTTTTGTGACACCAAAAAGGTCTCCAGATATCATCAAAAATCCTCTGGGGGGCAAAATCACCTCTGTCGGAAACCACCGGCCTAATATGAATTCTAGTAAAAAGAACAGAGAAAATGAAGGGAAATAAATCATCGGAGAAATGATGTAATAAATTTTCCCAAGGTAGAAAAAGTCAGATATATTCAGGCAAAAGGGGCCAGCGGGTGCTCGGCACAATGAAGGCATAAGGCCTATACCCAGACTTTAGTTGAAAAATTTCCAAAATCCTAAGAAGATTCTAGAAGATTCTGTAGAGGAAAAAAATACCATCCAGATGGGCTTCTCACTGGCAACGCTAAAAGTCAGAAGACAAAAGAACATTATTTTCAAAGTTCTAAAATAATATGATCTTTGAATTCAGAATTCCACATATTATAAAAGTAGCATTTAAGTGTGAAGGCAAAATTAAACTATTTTCATACAGTCAGAGACCATTCCCCTTACCCCCACCTCTACATGAAAGAATTAGTCAAGGATGTCCTGAAGCAAAGATGAAAGCCAAATACAAAACCACTTAGATGTGTGATATAATAAATAGTGGTAATCAAGGAAAGCCACCAAGTGTATAATTTAAATAATTATTGATGCGTAATGCACACTGAACAGTAACATCCTGGAAATGGAAAATGGGAGGTAAAGAAGAGAGAAGAGGGGGCGCCTGGGTGGCTCAGTCGTTAAGCGCCTGCCTTCGGCTCAGGTCATGATCCCGGGGTCCTGGGATCGAGCCCCGCATCGGGCTCCCTGCTCGGTAGGGAGTCTGCTTCTCCCTCTGCCTGTAGCTCCCCCTGCTTGTGCTCTCTCTCTCTTTCTCAAATAAATAAATAAATAAACGTGGACTGGGCTAGTGCATGGCAGCCCCTGTGCCGACGTGGCGCCTGAGTGAGCAGGCCCACCCTAAACGTATTTGATTAACAAAGTAAGCATTATGCTAGCCAAACATGACAAGTTCCAGAAACAAAATCCATCCACTCAGGTTGTCAGTTTACTACCAATACCTGTTACACAGAAGAGATGAAGTAAGGAAAAATCAGCCAAGGGCCTGCACAAGACTGTTCCTAGCAGCGCGGTTGGTAACACGTGCAAACGTACATCACAGAACAACGGTAAACAGATCATGGTACAATCACGATGGAACCCCACAGCACTGTGAGAGCTGACAACTGGTAGCTACGCTAATTCACACGGGCGAATTCATGAACATAACGCCGAGTTATAGAAGCAAGTCACCTAAGAACACAGGTCAGCCGGGAGAATGATGCCTCACGTTTGTGCAGCCCTTCTTGGTTCCAAGCATGTTCATTTATGTAATCTTATTTGAGAGGAGGCCAGCAGAGCTAGCAAGACAGGTTTGATACTGCCTTTAAGTCTCCTAAGAGGATAAGTAATTTTATGCGGGTTTGCACAAAACTGCTTTAAAGGCTGGGAATGATGGCATGATTCCATCACCCCTCCAGTGCCCAGGAGGACCTCTCTGTTCTCACTGCCTCTTCCTGCACACTGTTGGGGCCAGCCCCCGACAAAGTGCCGCCTTCTGCTGGCCAGAGGACCCTTCATGCAGGGCACTGGGTGAAGACATCAGCACCATCCCAGCCCTGCTCACCTATCTCACTTTTCAGGGGATTCTGAAATCTTTGGAGACCTCTGGGGGAATGTCTTTCTTTTTTTTCTTTTTAAGATTTTATTTATTTATATGAGAGAGAGTGGGAGAGAGAGCACGTGCAGGGGGAGGGGGAGAGGGAAAGGGAGAAGCAGACTCCCCACTGAGCAGGGAGCCCGACACAGGACTCGATCCCAGGACCCTGGGATCATAACCTGAGCCAAAGGCAGACGCTTAACTGACTGAGTCACCCAGGCGCCCCTGGGGAATTTCTTTTTACACTTTGAGTGATGGAATGGAGAGAAATGGAAATGTTTATCATGATCATTTTATTTGTTTTAAAATTTGCGGTGAACACACATACACCCTGAAAAACGTAGGTAACACCTCATAAGTTGACAGCTTGACAAATTTTCACAAACTCAAGACACCCATGTAACTCAGGAAAGAGACCACCACCAGCATCCCAGAGGCCCTCTTCCTCTGAAAGGTTCGCTGCCCTGGCTTCCAGTGACAGTCTGGTTTTAAACTTGATGTACACAGAATCTTGCCACACACACTTTTGTGTCTGGCTTCTCTTGCTCTGAGTGACATCTGTGAGATTCATCCATTTTGTTGCCCGTGGTGGAGGCTGGCTTATTTTCATTTCGGTGTAGCATCACATTGCACGAATACCCCAGAATGCATGTCTCCTGTCTACTACCCATGGGCGCTGGGTTCCAGCACGGGGCCAGTAAGCACCGTGCCATGACGAATGCTCTCCTGTACGTCTTTAGAGACCATGTGTACACATTTCCATTATGCATGCACAGAGAGGCGGGACTGCTGGGGAGGTGTGTGTGTGCAACTTCTCAGAAGGCTTACCTAATGCTGATTTCTAGAGTATGCTTGCACTTGGTTGGTTCAAAGACAGAAAACATACTACACAGAGCTCAGATTGTCCATAAAAGTGTCATGAGGAGGCGCTCAAGCAAAGAGGCTTCAGGGGTTTTCTACCCTCTCTAGTGACAACAGCTGCTGCCCAGGGGGGACAAATACATCTTAGAGACCCGGACTCCACCCTCCTGGCAGAAGCCCTCGCCCCAGACCATTCCAGGGCCAGCAGTAAGGGGAACTCACTGCCCTCCTAAAGCTGCCTGTTCCATAGCTCAAGTTCTTAGAAATCCCTTTCTCCCCACAGAGCCCCCGCCCCCCAACCTGCCCTGCTCTGTCTTTCCATTCCAGACCTCTCAGATTGGACAGTGGTTCTGCATCCCCACTCTTCCCCATCCAAGCTGAAGTGCTCAGACTGTGCCCCACGGGCAGATGGCCCCAGCCTAGACCTTTCCCACCTGCACTGCCCATGTCCTCAGGGTCTGGAGCTTGGGACACTGCATCTGCACGTTGGAGGTCTGGGTTACAGAAAGGTCTCTAAGTGCTACAGCTATGCGCCAGAAGGTCAGGCTACTGGGGACAGAGCAGAGAAGCAGCAACAAGCTACCTTCTCGTCCCTGCCTGCCCGCACAGGCCTGCTGACTCACCTTCTCCCCAGCCACCCACGGCCGGGCTCCATCTCCCTCCTGCCCCGGGAAAGGAGCTTCAACAGACAGCGCCGTGCGAGGCCTGGCCTGAAGTCCGGGAAGCATCTCAAGCACCTCAGGATGTGAGGGTCCCCACCCCAGAACACAGCCCACCAGCAGCTCACTTACTGACTCGGTAGCCCAAGCCCTCGGCATGGATCCTCTTGGCCATGAACTGCCCTTCAATCAGTGCCCGGATCTCCACAGCCCTAGGGAATGCTGAGACCTGTCCCCAGGAGAAAGCAGGCACAGTGAAAACTCCTTGGTGTCCCTTCATTGTATGTGTGCGTGCATGTGTGTGAGTGCATGCATGTGTGTGCATGAGCATGTGTGTGCGTGTGCATGCATGTGTGTGCGTGTGCATGTGTGCGCGTGTGCACGAGCATGTGTGTGCGTGTGCATGCATGTGTGTGAATGCATACATGTGTTGCGTGAGCATGTGTGTGCACATGCATGCGTGCGTGTGAGTGTGCGTGCGTGTGCATGCATGCATGCGTGTGTTGTCTTTTTAAACAACAGCCCAGATTCAGAACTCATGACTCAGGCCTCCAGGGCAGCTCATACACAGCTGGGGCTCTTGACCCACTAAGCACCTGCTGTACATGCTCACACGAACACATCGCTCACACATACATGCCCCCAGCCTCAGGCGTGCTCACTTCGGGGACACAGAGCATCAGAGAACTCAGTTTCAGGCCACCAAGGGTTCAGCTCTGTGACCTCAAGTTAAGTTAGGTAAATCTTGCTGGGATTTTCATTTTCTTTCTTAACAAAACCGAGCTCATAGTGGTACCTGTTTCAGGGTGGGTATAATGATCAAATGAGACAACAGAGCCTGGTCTAGGTGTGTGATACTAAGTGAGAACCCACAGCTGAGGAGTGTCCGTCAGGCTAATGCTGATAGGCGTCAACCCCAGCTTCGCCCATGCCTTAGCCCCTGAGACCAGCGACAGACCCTACCTTTTCCCTGACAGACCCCGACGGGTTTATGCAAAGGGGAACAGGCATACCTTCTCTGTATGAACAACAGAAACCAAACAGACCCTTCATCAGAAGACTGAGGTGAGCCCCTCCCCCTATAGTTTATATAAAGCTTTCCACTTACAACCCAATGTGTCATGACTTCATCAGCCACAAATCTGATGCCAACTCTAACTGTAACAGTTACTAGACAGAGGGACTTACTCAATCCCACATGCACGGTAGAGGGGAAAGGAAACAGTGCTTCAGGACCAGGGAGGACTGGGTCTGGAGGGCCCCCTGCACCACCCAGGCCCTGGTGACTTGGGCACATGATTTAGCATCTCTGGACCTCAGGATGCTCTGAGCAGTCAATGAGGGACACAGGGAACCACCAGCACGGTGCTTGGGGCCAAACAGCACGCAATAAATGTTAGTGCTTCCAGTCCCAGAGGCTTTTGATCAGGAAGAAATACCCGATCCGGGGACAATGTGAGTCCTTGGGGGTGCAGGATTAAGCTTGCCAAGGGAACAGGTTCTATGGCTTTCAGTGGCAGTCAGTGTGGACACGGGTCAGCCAGGGGAAAGCCCCGAGGTATTCTACACTCCTCTTTGTGAGAATCGCGTCTGTCCTAGATTCTGCGGATTCCCCAGCACTAAAACGCACGCCGGCACATCAAGACGTTTGCGTTAGCAAGAGCGGAGTAAATGAATGAAGTCCCTCAAGTAGCAGAACTTGGGAGGCAGTTGTTAAATTCAATACTCGAAACTGGAGGCAATTTCTCTCCAATACGAATACCACACGTACCTGTCGGTTTTCTGCACTAAACCGATGGCGCCCAATAATTTCAGGGGTGATCTCCATTACGTCAAAATAAAAACCTGAAACCAGACCAGGAAGAGAGTCACTGTCGGTAATCAAAAACAAAAGATAAGCCTCTCAAAGACTTAGGACAGAATAAGGTGAAATGACCCCATATCTCTGTCCCCCAGAAGAGTCGGGAAAGACAGGAACTGGAAGGCCCTGGGCTAGATCCTCCTAAAGACAGTTCCGCCTACTCTTACCCGACAGCCCAGACCAGAGGCAGCTGCCCCACCAGCCCTGAAATACCAGTGCAGGTTTGATCGAGGGCCGCACGTCCCCTTCCTGCTCAGAAGGCCTGGCCCAACGCTGGGCCCTCTTCCGAAGAGAACCCTGCATCTGGGGCAGAAAGCTACATATGGGCGCACACCAGGGTAGAGCAGGAGCCGTGGCTGCCCTCCCTGAGGCTGTCACCAGGGGCTCTGAGGGGGACAGAGCCCTCCACTCAAAGCATGGAGAACGGCCCTACCTTGCTCAGATCATTGGGCCTCACAGTAGTTTGGAAGACCCACGGAGCAGAAGGACACACAGCTAGGGCTCCCCCTGGCTTTCTCCGTGGCCCTCCTTTCCCCCTTCCCCTGGGGCCCTCCTGTCAGCAGCTACTGCCCTTCACAGGCCTGGGCATCACCAAACAGCCTACCCAGATTCCCGCCGTTGCCCATCTCCGTGGACCGCAGTGCCTCGGAGAAATCACTCCAGGAACAGGAAGCGGACTCATCACGGATCTTCTCTCTCATGAGGGAGCCATTTTTAAAGCTGCAGAAGTGCACACAACCCTGAGGGGGGACCCACTGCTTGCTGACTGGACCCATGTGTTTTGGTGAAGAGTCTCAGGTCGAAGGGCTGCAGGTCAAGCTGGACCACAACCCCCAGGCAGTGGCTGGCAGAGATCTGAGGTTCTCCCTCAGGTTATCAGGCCCAGCGAAGGTCCCTGGGAATCACTGGGGAAGGCTTGTCTCGGACTCTGTTTACAGAGGTTGCCGCAAAGGCACCCCAGGAAGAGACGGGGAGCTGTGGCTTCTACGCGTTATGCCACCTGGACGATGGAACAGAGCTGGCTAAATTTACTAGACCTACATATCCTCCAATGGTTCCTGGGGCCTAGAGGCTCAGAAACTTCCCTGAGTAGCCTCTGGTGGGTTTCCAAAGGCCTGTCATCAGGGTGCAGAGCACACCTCCTCCATGACAACCGTCAGGGGGCAGGATGTCCTTCCTACTATTGTTGAAGGTCTAGCACATGCTAGGCATGTCCTAACAACACCATGAAGTAAACCTTTCATTCTTCGCATTTGATGAGCAAAGTGTGGCTCACGTGAGCCATGGGGTCTGCCCCAGGCCACACAGGATATGGGTGTTGAGGATGGGACTGGAATCTGGGTTTGGCGAGGACTCCAGGTCCAGGCTTCCTCCCCACCTAGCTCTGCTGTCAGAAAAAACCCAGAGTCCCAGGGTCTCAGAGGCCACAAGAGCTCGCTGAGCAGGAAAGCCTGCGGGCTCCACACGGTGTCACACCTGCCCACTGCCCACCAAGCCTACCACAGGAGTGCCATGTAGTGCTGGACATCAACCGGGTTGCAGAAGACGTGCCCTTCCAGGGTGGGCATGGGCTCCTGGAGCCAGAGAAATAGGGTGTCGCTGGTGCCCAGGCTGACCTGGGAAGAAATGGGCAGAGATGAGGCGCCTCTCTGCCCAGCTCCGCCAGCCCTGACCCCCTTCGTTTCACTCCTCATGCTGCAGATTAAATGCCACTTCCTCAGAGAAACCTCTTCTTCTAACCCTCCCACACTAGATGAGTCCAAAGTTAGCAACCAGATTTAGGCTCTTATGGAAACTGTGGGCCGATTTTCTAGAATTTACCACAATTGCATCTAACTAATGGTTTGGGTGACAATTGGTTCCCAAATGACCTTCCCAGTAGACCCAGAAGGGCACAGGTTATGTTTTCTTTATTCATCCGGGGAGCTCACAGTCCTCTGGCCCAATGTCTCACCCTTCCACCACTGTACCCACCAAGACTGGCCATTGTCAAGGGGACCTGCCTACCCGGCAAAGGCCATAACCTTCTAAGAGCAGGTCCTGGGGCCTGGGTCTTCCTATCCCCTCCCTCAGCTGCCTTTTGGGACCGGCAGACCCTCTAAGAGGCAGCAAAGATGCTGCTGGGGCCCTCATCCCCCAGGGCACAAAGAGCTGGCTTTGCCTGTGGGCATGAGAAGTCACCTTACCGCAATGTCACCCTCCTCCAGCCTCATGCCTGCCAGCGATGCTGAGAAGAGAGGAGGGGAGCCTCTGATTAGCTGGAGGTCACACAGAGCCAAAAAGCAAACCACAGTCACCCCCAGATGGGAGCCAGCCCTGAACCTCCCGCCCCAAGCCACATGCTAGGGTAGAGGCAGGAGCAAGGTGAGTTGAGGGCTCAGGATGGCCCAAGGGGAGGTCCCAGGGGTCAAAGGGTAGAGTCCCTGAGGTCAGGGCCTCCGATCTGAGCTGGGAAGCCTCTTCCAAAAGGGTCCAAACGCCCCACCATCAGGTGCTCCCCAGAGTGCAGAGAAACAAGGGGGCCAAGTCAAGACACCAGAATACACATGGCAGAGAAAGAGAGGGGTGAGGCAGGAGTGTAAAGGGGGCAGAAAGTAAAGGGCAGTGTCTATCCCCCTGAGACATGAGGCCCAGAACAGCAATCCGCATCGGCCTGGCTCACTGATGCACTCTGGAACTGAAAGAAGGTCTGGCATTGACTGGGGGCTCACTAAATGTCGAATGACTGACTGGTTGAGTGAAAGGAGAAACATGGAAGGGACAGGTGGTCCTCCACCATCACTGCTGTGTGTGTCAGAGCCTTGGATCCAGGAACCCCACCTCGGAGAACTTAGCCTGTAGGGATGAGGGACAGGACAGGGTGTGCACGTCAACACCGTTTGCATTGCCCGAGCACTGGAAGCCCCACTGAGCTCCACCGCAAGGGACTGGGGAAAGAAATGTGGAGCAACTGGCCCTAGGCAACCGTTAACATGATGCTGCACAAAAATATTGCCTGGGTTAGTTAAAACAAAATATGTTTACTTATGAGCACAGAAAGAAAGGTGGAAGGATAGCCATCAAAATTTTAACTGTGGTTATCTCTGGGTTAAGAGATTATGGATGATTTTTACATCCTTCCTTTGGTTTGTCAGTATTTAACAATTTTTTTTTCTGCAGTGAAGAGGTATCCCTTGTGAGTAAGAAAAAGAGCATGAGCCTTGGTTAGTCTGCTTGCTTGTTGTTGTTGTTTTAATGAAGGAACAATTAATGCATGACTTAACTCAAGGTCAGACTTAGGGAGGGACCGACTGAGGGCTACCTGCCTGGTATCACCAACATTCAGCTGGAAATGAGGTCCAAGAGGAAGGATTGGAAAGCTGCTTCTTTGTCATTCTTGCTCAAACATGCCCAGAAGCTCACTTTAGTGGTTAAAAAGGCCCATTCTTCCCCCTGACATTCTTCTAGTTGATAGAGGAGGTACAAGATACATTGCCTAATGAGACTCAGTGAAGTTATTTTCATTCTGAAAGTGTAGAACTTTCCTAAGTTGGTGCTTCTACACCAACCGTTCTTCTTTGAGGGAGGCTGGACCTCCCAGCTTTTTGGGCAGGTGGGAACTGGGGCCTGGGTGTCCCCTGGGAGCCTCGGGCACCAGAACCCACACACTGCAGGCTGGAGCCGCCTCTCAATCCAGGGGACAGAGCTTGGGCTTCATGCCTTGCCACTGTGGAAATCTGGCCACTGTCCACCAGCCCCTGCCTCCCCTCCACTTTTGGACCAGAAACACTGGGATCCCTTCTCCAAAACCTGCTTTGATTGGTTCTGTGCTTTTCCAACAGGGTTCCACGCGCCCATCTCCAGAAATTGCTCAGGGATAGGAAAGGCCCTTATCTGGCTCCTGGGGTTCCCTCCAGATGCCAGAGCCAAGGCTGTCCCAGGAGGGAGGGGTCACAGCCAGGACACTGATGCGGCCACAGGTGTGGTGGGGATGTGCTCACTGTGCCCTCAGCTCCAGAGCAGACAGGCCAGAAGCAGACCGAGGAACACCACGAGCGTTAGCGTTATTCTCAGTGATAACTGTAATAATAGTAGCGACTTCAGTGTTTTTCCTGACCACAAAAATACAGAGACACTGCAGAAAATATAGAATCTAATAATAACACTGATAATGTACCTATTGCCATTAAGGATGAATTTTAACAAGGACCACCCACGCTATTTCGAGGCATACAACTCTACTCCTAGACATATGCGTCTCTCTCTGTTTATTTTGGATGCCCCTGTCCTGCTCGTCTACATAGCCAACAGGAGGAAAGTACAGAGAGGCTGGTGGGTGTTGAAATCAGGAGGAGCGCTGAAGGCAGAAAACAACTGAAAAGAAATGTGTCTCAAAGGAGAGCAAAATAGAAGAAATAGAGAGCCACGCTCCCTGACCATAGAGAGAAGCAGGAGAGGCTCTAAGAAGGAAGTCAGCCTCCCTAGGACAGCAGACCCTGGCCCCACCCGGGCAGCAGCCCAGGTCCTCCGCCACGTACTTGACACTTCCTCAGAGCAGGAGCTGAGGATGCTGATTTGGAGTAAAGTTGCCAGAAAAAATGGCGGACACTCAGTTAAATTTGAATTTCAGAGAGATATACTTTGGGCCATACTTACACTAAAAAATCATTTGTTGGGTGCCTGGGTGGCTCAGTTGGTTGAGCGACTGCCTTCGGCCCAGGTCATGATCCTAGAGTCCCGGGATCGAGTCCCGCATCGGGCTCCCTGCTCGGCAGGGAGTCTGCTTCTCCCTCTGACCCTCCCCCCTCTCATGTGCT